GTCCGCTCCTGTCCCTGTCTCTCAGATGTCCAGCACATTAAACGGCAGGACATCATTTTGAAGAGGGAGCTGGGGGAGGGAGCCTTTGGGAAGGTTTTCCTAGCCGAATGCTACAACCTGAGCTCTACCAAGGACAAGATGCTGGTGGCTGTGAAGGTAAGTAAGAGACTCATGTTTGTGCCACCTCGGTTTGGCCTTTTTGCCATTTTCTAATGATAATAATAACACATTTTATTTTTTAAAAGCGCCTTTCATGCGACTCGAGGACACTTTACAAAGACGATCATCATTAACCCTTTAAAATCCAAGAATAAAACAAAACAGAAAATGACTTTTTTTTGGTTGGAAGTCTTTAGTTAGCCTTTTAACAAAATATGTAAAACTAAAAAACAGTAAAACATTTTTAATATTCATCATTTATTACTATGCGATTAGTCAAGATTATTTTTTGTGTAGTCTTCTGCCCCCTGTTATCAGGTGTATCTGATTGTGTACAATAGGATTTTGAGCAAAGTTTTTACCATTAAATTATGCAAAAGGTGTAAGACGCGAAACATTTCAGAAACCGTACGTATCAGATATTATACATTTGGCATTACAGGGTTAAAGACACATTCACTGACCGGATGACTAGATATGAACTATTTATTGAGGACTGACCAAACATGTACAAACAGGAATGGTGCTTCTGTGAGATCCATGCGTTATGGTGAAGAAGGTGTGGTTTGTCTGGCTTGTTAGATCTGGGTTTGTTTGTTTTTTCACTCGTCCTTTTGCCGTTGTATTATCATTTAGATTCAAAGCTCACCGGTTCTGGCGGCACGGTGGTGTGGTGGTTAGCACTGTTGCCTCCCAGCAAGAGGGTTCTGGGTTCGAATCCCAGGGGAACCAGGACCTTTCTGGGTGGAGTCTGCATGTTCTCCTGTGTCTGTGGGTTCTCTCCGGGTTCTCCGGCTTCCTCCCACAGCCCAAAAACCTGCATGTTAGGCTGATTGGAGATTGGGGAAATTGCCCTTAGGAGTGAATGTGAGGGTGAGTGGTTGTTGGTCCTTGTATGTCCTGTGATGGACATACAAGGGTGTACCCTGCCTCTCGCCCGTTGACCACTGGGATAGGCTCCAGTTCCCCCCGTGACCCCATGAGGGAATAAGCGGTATTGATAATGGATGGATGGATGGATGGCTCACCGGTTCTTTCACTCTCTCCAGACTCTAAAGGACCCGACGCTTGCAGCCCGTAAGGATTTCCAGCGCGAGGCTGAGCTGCTGACCAACCTCCAGCACGACCACATAGTGAAGTTCTACGGAGTGTGTGTGGACGGAGAACCTCTCAGCATGGTGTTTGAGTACATGAAACACGGAGATCTGAATAAATTCCTCAGGTGAGTCCTCTGTTAATGCTAAAAATGAGAAAAACAAGGCCAATGTTGGTCATGTTGGTTTTTTTCTAGAGCTGTGGAGTCTGGATATGTGGTTGGGATTTTCCTGCTGCCCCCGTGTTCCTGCTCTGTTGCCGTCATAACTTCTACCATCATCATTAATATTAATATCATTGCCATTTTTCATCTAGTCTACGTGTTGCTGTGTTGGCTGCCTCTCTCTCTCTCTCTCTCTCTCTCTTGCCCTCTCTCTCTCTCACCCCCAACCGGCCGAGGCAGATGGCCGCCCACCCTGAGCCATGGTTTTGCTCCAGGTTTCTGCCTGTTGAAAGGAAGTTTTTCCTTGCCTGTGTCGCCTAGTGCTTGCTCATGGTGGGAATTGTTGGGTTTCTGTAATTAACTTCAGAGTAGGGTCTGACCTGCTCTGTTTGGAAAGCGCTGTGAGACAACTGTTGTTGTGATGTGGCGCTATATAAATGAAATTGAATTGAATTGAATTGAATTAAATTTTCTTTGACCAGAGCTTTGAGGAGTGTTACTTCCACTGTGCCGGGTCCTGTCATAGGTCACGTTATAAGGAGGTTCTTCAGAGTCTGCTTTACCTGTTACTTGTTTTGTTTCTTAATTTCACCGGGATAAATGCAGTGGGCATCGATCCATGCACACATACAAAAGAGATGTCTTTCCTGGAGGTTGCTAGCCAACCCAGTCACTGGCTCTGCTTTAACCTCGGAATATATGAACAAAAAATGTTGTCAATTAAGGGTGATTTGCAAATCAAAAGAACAGCTGATGCCTTGATACCTAACTACGTGTCATGAATAGGAATTAAATAAACACAAAAATGTATTTGTATCTTATTTTATATTTCTTCTTTCAAATTGCACTTAACATGTCCACTTTAATATACAAAATTATATACAACATCTAGTCATAAGGAATTATTACATGATTACTCCGCCAGTCACTAGAACAGCACAGACACTCAAAAATGGCATATTATTTGCAGATAATTTATTCTTTATCAAAAAATCTTTTTAGACCAATTAGGTGAAATAGGATGATTTTCTACGGCACACCTGACCATCACTCGCGGCACACTAACGTACCGAGGACCAGTGGTTGAGAAACACTGAGCTAAAGGGAACTCCAACCCAGAACCCTCTGGGTAACTCTCAGTTACTTTCGTGTTTCCTCAGAGCTCACGGGCCAGACGCCATGATCCTGGTGGACGGTCAGCCCCTGCAGAGCAACAGTGAGCTGGGCCTCTCCCAGATGCTGCACATCGCCAGTCAGATCGCGGCAGGAATGATCTACCTGGCCTCGCAGCACTTTGTGCACCGGGACCTGGCCACCAGGAACTGCCTGGTGGGCAACGGCCTCCTGGTGAAGATCGGAGATTTCGGCATGTCCAGAGACATTTACAGCACGGATTATTACAGGGTAAGAACACAAGGAATACTGCATTCTGTGGTTTTAACCCCATAAGGCCAAATAAAGACTTCAAACCAAAGAAAAGTAATTTTCCGTTTAGTTTTATTCTTGGATCAGGCTTTAAAGGGTTAACCCTATAATGCCAAATGTGTCATATTTGATACGGTTTCTGCAATCTTTTGGATCAGTTTTTCCTGTCAAAAGGACTTCAGATGTGATTAGATTTTTCTTCTTTATGTGTCTCAACATAAGCTTTTGTGACGTTAACTGTTAGCGTTTCAGGGACATTTTTCCTTTCAAACAATGAGATAAAGGACCTCAGATGTGATTAGATTTTTCGTTTTTTTTAACCCTATAATGCCAAATGTATCATATTTGATACGGTTCCTAAAGTCTTTTGGATCTGAGACTTTTTGCATCATTCAGTGGTAAAAGCTTTGCTCAAACCCCTGTTGTACACATTCAGATATACCTGATAACAGCCAGTAGAAGACTACACCAACATATATTTTTGACTTATTGCACGCTAATTTGATCTAAATAATTTAAGTTTTTTTGTCTTCATATGTTGTTGAGGGGCCAAAGAAAGACTTCAGACTAAAAAAATCCAATATTCTTCCTCTTTTTCTTGGCTCAGGCTTTAAAGGGTTAAAAAGCTTTAGAAACAAGCTTAAATTTTCTTTTCCTTGAAAAAATTCAATTTTTAAAACAGAATTAAATTAATGAGCGGATTCTGTTCCCCGACTGTGCTTTAAAAAAAAAAAAATTGTTCAGAGGTGGCTCGCCCCAAAAACAAGCTTCCTATTAAAAAATGGCTGTTATACTTTCAAGATGTCATAATGATGGGGCAAGAGTGTCAACAATGCAAAAGTGGGAAAGAAGTGCAGAGGGAGTTACTGACTTGCTGGTGAATCACGCACAATGAGATGTCTCACATACTTTGTCCCTTTTTTAATTATTATTTTGATATATATATATATATACATATATATATATATATTTTTTTTTCATTTAACCTCCTGAGACCCTGTGTCCTCATAAGAGGACGTTGCATTTTTGTCTCTCTTTACCATGATACTTCTTTTTTTCTTTCAGCTTTGACCTCTTGACCTCATAGCAGATGCTACCAGACACTGTTTGAAATCTAAAGTAAAATGGTTTTATACATTTCCATCCAATCATGTTCTTATTGTGTAATAGAAAAAATGTAAATAAGTCAATGGGACTGTCAGAACAAAATTGTAAAAACATTTAATTAAATATGTATCTCATATATCTTTAAAAAAAAAGCTAAAATGCGTGCCAAATAAAAGCTCGGGTCTCAGGAGGTTAAGACCTAATGGGTCATGTGATTTGTATCTATGGTTGGGGTGGGGTGGGTGGGTATTGAACCCTGACTTTGTAATATTCCTGTTTCCCAGCTTGGGAATTTGTTACTATAGGACTATAATACCAGCTACTTTAACTGTGACCCAATCAATGTCATTTTTTATACTTTTGATCTACTCTGGTTTATTCTCAGGTTTCCAACTAAAGAATCGGGTTAACAGTCTCAGACACATCGTCTTGTTTCAAACGTCTTCCCTCTGTGTGGAAATGTGCGTGTGCAAGCAGGTGGGAGGTCACACCATGCTGCCCATTCGCTGGATGCCCCCGGAGAGCATCATGTACCGGAAGTTCACCACCGAGAGCGACGTGTGGAGCTTCGGGGTCATTCTGTGGGAGATCTTCACCTACGGGAAACAGCCCTGGTTTCAGCTGGCTAATAACGAGGTACGGGAACTCTCACCGACCAATGAGGTGGGCTCAGTACCAACCCGCAGAATCTCTAAAAACAAAAACAGTTAAACCGTAATTTACTTTTTCGACATTGTAGGATTGAGTTTGCACCATAAACCAGAATGAGATTCATGGTTGATGTGGCACCCAAACATTGAAAAGAGCCATGTGAACAGAGATGTTCAGTAACAAAGTAGAACTACTTAAGTACTGTACTTAGGTACCAAAATGCAGTATATGTACTTTATTGGAGTCTATATTTTTTACCTACTTTTACTTTTACTCCACTATATATTTTTGTTTAATTCAATACTTTTACTTTTACTTTCACGGGCTGAATCGTTAGTCGTTACTGATTTATAAACGTAATGATAGATAGTTCTGTCCCGGTTTGGGAATACAATGACATATAAGCTAGTAAATAAGCGCTAGTTCACTCAGGGCGTAGCAGCTAACATTAGCTAAAGCTAACCTAGCTGACTAGCTGTATGATAACGTTAGCTAAAGCTAACCTAGCTGGCTAGCTGTATGATAACATTAGCTAAAGCTAACCTAGCTGGCTAGCTGTATGCTACATGCTAGCATAAAGGCTCAGCTCAGGATTCTGACTCTGGAATAATAAATAATAGTAGATGAAGAGCTGTTGATGCTAATGCAGATGTAGCTTTCTTTTTTGTAAACACCTGTATGGCCTTTCACACGTTTGAAATAATATAAAAAATATCTATCACACTTTTATCTGCCTTTTTCAAATATACACAGTACTTGTACTTTTACTTGTACTTTCAATACTTGAGTAGCAATTTTTTAAATATTTCTACTTGCAATACTTAAGTTTTAAAAAAATGGAGTACTTCCGTACTGCCACTTAAGTATGGTGTTGAAAGAACACTTAAACTTTTACTCAAGTCAGTTTTTTATATAGTACTTGTACTTCTACTCCACTCCTCTACTCCAGTACTTTATATTTCTATTACAGCCTCCATAAAGGAAGCTGATAGCAGGAGGTCTGAGGCTTATGCTGTAAACAGTGCTCACGCCGCTCGATTTTTTAGCCGACTCAGCGTTTTTCTGCCCTGACGACGTTTTTTCCGGTTCTAACCGGTTCTCTCTCTCGTCCCTCCAGGTGATCGAGTGCATTACTCAGGGCAGGGTGCTGGAACGGCCCCGTCTCTGCCCCAAGGAGGTCTACGACTTAATGCTGGGCTGCTGGCAGAGGGAGCCCCAACAGAGGCTCAACATAAAGGACATCCAGAAGCTGCTGTTCACCATGATGAAAGCCACCCCCGTCTATCTGGATATACTGGGATGAAAACGGATACCGCAGGGCGGGGATAAGAAACAGGTTCCTGGACTTCCACCGTAGAGTCACGGATTGAGATAATGGACTCGATAACCGACACAAACAAAGGATCCAGAACGAGCAGAACTTCCCTGGGCTTTGTGTTCTGTTTCCGTCTCTAAAGGAATGGAGCTCAGATCGACTAAGCCTTTGAGCGTTTCACAAAGCCATATTTTTATCGCGTAAAAAACGTTACCGTCAGTGTTTAGGAACAGGAAGTGGTTGTTCGTCTGAGGCCTGAAAGGTGTGGAGGCAGTGGTGTTTGTGCCTTACCCAAAAAATGCTAAATGTGTAAATGTGGGAATTGGATGTCTGGATGCAAAGTTTTGGGGAGGAAATGATCCGAATGAATCCACTAAGCTCTTTACCCCCTTTTACCTGCTGCTCCTGCTTCTTGTTTAAAAGCATGTCTTAAACTTTTAGCCTGAT